CATCTAACATTTGAAGCATGATAAATTACACTTATTTCCATTTTGAAACATGATATATTACACTTATTTGCATTTAACATTTGAAACATGATAATTTTCACTTATTTCCATTTTGAAACATGATATATTCCACTTATTTCCATTTAACATTTGAAACATGATAAACTACACTTATTTCCATTTAACATTTGAAACATGATAAACTACACTTATTTCCATTTAACATTTTAGACATGATAACTTACACTTATTTCCATTTAACATTTGAAACATGATAAATTATTTCCATTTAACATTTGAAACATGATAATCTACACTTATTTCCATTTAACATTTGAAACATGATAAATTACACTTATTTCCATTTTGAAACATGATATATTATACTTATTTCCATTTAACATTTGAAACACGATAAATTACACGTATTTCCATTTAACATTTGAAACATGACATATTACACTTATTTCTATTTAACATTTGAAACATGATAAATTACACTTATTTCCATTTTGAAACATGATATATTACACTTATTTCTATTTAACAGTTCAAACATGATAATTCAACTATTCTTTCTATGCATAAATTGCATCACACTATTTAAATGTTTTTTGCACACAAGTATTAACAGAATCAAAAGCCTTTGATTAAGAGTCAGTTGCAAATCGAAATCAGAATAACTTTTGGCACTTTCCTCAAGTAAATCTAGAATTGGATCCTCCAAATGGTTGTATTCAATTTTGCTAATTATCTTATCAGGTGATGACCGGTATTCCTCAAAGAGTTATGAATTAACAGTCTCTGATGCACCTTGCAAGAGCAATGGATAGAAGTTCACACCCTTTCTTAGAGCAAGATATCGGATAGAGAGGAATAGCGATCAGAGTTGGTCTGGCTATTTCTGTCATAACTCTTTTAAAGGTATAGGGTGTTCGAAGCTCACTCCCACCATACGAATATATTAAGTTGAATAGTTTGTCTTGTATTGTGTTGAATGTGGTTACAGTCATGGAGTGATTTATCAAATTGCTCTCTGTTTTATTAACATGTAACAGGAATGATGACATAAGGAGTTCATCGGAAACGCATCCAGTTCCAGCTAAAATATATAGGATTTGTGATAGAGCTGATGTTAGTAAATAATTGCAGAGTATAAAGGCATGGAAGATAATCTTCCCTATTATTTGAAAGGTACCATGGAACAAGTATCGATGATCCACTGAAAAAACTTTATGGTATTGTCAAAAAAAACTAAATCAACATTGATAAAAAAACCAGGAGAAAATCTCCCTAGTTACACCGTCTGAGTCCACAGTAGCCTCATCACCTTGAAAAACAACCTCCAGTTTGTGTTGGAGAGTGTTTGGATGGAAAAGGTAGTATTCCACCAAACCTGCAAGTATAATTTCTTGTCGTACCCTGATCTTCCTTAAAGGAAATAAGAGCTGGTAGGACTCTTCTTTCTATCAAGTCAGCAACATCTTAAGTTAAAAGATATACATCAAAGTGAAATTAAATTAAATAAATATCTTGCTAAGCACAATAAATCAACAAAGTATTCAATTTACATCAAATTAAAAATAAAATTTCAAAACATGTATACTATAGGAATGAGCTCTCCTAGTGAGTAGCACACTATTAAAAATTACAAAGTAGATAAGAAAAAGGGTATTTAAATACTAACCAAGATTATTAGAAACGAGAAGTTTTTCAGAAATGTTTTACGATCAATTCCGTCTTTAATTTTGTGGTATCTGAAGCCAATCTACCATGTTTCTTTAATATTCAATCTTTAATACCAGCGGCTGCCACAGCTGTTGCTCCACCTGCTCTTAAACTGTGCAAACCAACTTTTGATTTTTCGTATCCAAAATATTCCATGCATCTAACAACAATTCTCTGACACTTGTATACGATAAAGGCATACGAAATACTACTGCTCTAAATTAGAATTCTTTTGAATCCTTTTTAATGTTCGTTTGGTTCAGGTGTATCTATAACGGAACATGTTACCTAATAAGTTCTGGAAATATAAATATGAGTTCCTTCTCTTCGTTTGTCCGTTTTGCTTTTTTTCAATGAATAACGACATATACAAAGATTAAAATGAAACATCCTCAGACTGTCTTTTTAGAGATTCACTTGTTGTCGAGTATCGAGTTGCGAGTTACGAAAGTCGAGTTGCGAGTAACAAAGGTCGAGTTGCGAGTTACGAAGGTCGAGTTGCGAGTTACAAAAGTCGAGTTGCGAGTTGCGAAGGTCGAGTTGCGAGTTAAGAAGGTCGAGTTGCGAGTTACAAACATCGAGTTGCGAGTTACGAGGGTCGAGTTGCGAATTACGAAGGTCAAGTTACGAGTTACGAAGGTCGAGTTGCGAGTTACGAAAGTCGAGTTGCGTGAAAATGGGGAAAACTATTTTAATTTTTTGGTGTACCTCTTTAACATTTTTGAATGATGATTGCTTATAGAATTGTATACAGTATTGTTGATTCTTTTTGTTGTTTGGACTTCACCTGAGTCTCGTGTAAAACAAATGAATGGATTGCTTACATAATCACTACGCAAAGTATTTTCTGAAGAAACAGATAGCCTTTTGATATACAGCGGATGGCTTGTAGTTTAATTATTATTAAATTTCATAGCTAGCACCGTCATATTAAACGTAAAGGGAGATAGCAACTAAACTATAGTACATATTATGTAAAAGACCCCTTCTGCAGATTTCGTTAAGAGTGGGCTCTTTGGGGCAGCTGCAGAGGCAATATTTGTTAGGGACCCCAAAATTTATTCTTTGGCAGTGTCACTCAAAATTGTGGACGTTTAATTAAGTCACTAGTATATATGTCTACATTGGCTAGAGGTGAAGGGGGAAGGCTGAGCGCTCATAAAACCTGTTAACCCAGTCGCATTTTTGCGTCTGTCCTTAGTCAGGAACCTCTAGCCTTTGTTGGTCTTGTATATTTTTTAATTTTGGTTCATCTATATGTATCGGAGCATAGAATGCATTTTCTTGATCTAGTGTACATTGTGTTTCGGGGCCTGCTTGGGGATGCCTCTGGGTGTGTGATTTCTCGCTGTGTTGAAGACCCATTGATGGCCTTGGGTTGACTTGTATATTTTGGCTGTGTTGTTGTCTCTTTGACACATTCCCCGTTTCCATTCTTTATTTTATACATGTAGCTGTCAAAGATACTTTTGTAAAAGAGGCAAAAGACGCAGTTTTGGAATATGTAACTTCTTTCTAAAAAATGGGTTAATCATACCCAAATCAATCAAGTTAAGTTAGGAATAACATGCTGACAAATATAACTCTTTTTACTTTTTTTTTTACACGAAACTCATTATGCAGTAGATGGGAAATTGATTACATAAAGTTTGAATTGTCTGTATAAAACGTCAAAACATTTTTACATCAATATGAAAAAGTGCAGTTTTAAAGAGTTGTTAGTTATTTGAAAAGTATTTAAAAAACAGAACAATTCAGAGAAATTCAACTTTGACCAATGTGGTCATGGTCAGATGAAACATACCAGACATTTATTTACACCTTACAATCATTCCATAAACCAAATATAGTTCAACTATTTCTTATAGTATCTGAAAAACAAACCAAACAAGAAAAAATAGCATTGACCAATGAACCATGAAAATGAGGTCAAGGTTAGATGATTACTGTCAGACAGACATGTACACCTTACAACCATTCCATACACCAAAATATAATTGACTGAATACTTATAGTATCTGCGAAATGGACCAAAACACAAAAAGTTAACTTTGACCACTGAACCATGAAAATGAGGTCATGGTGAGATGACACCTGCCAGTCATTCCATATACCAAATATATAAAAGACCTATTGCTTATAGTATCTGTGATATGGACTTGACCATGAAAACTTAACTTTGTTCACTGATCCATGAAATGAGGTCAAGGTCAAGTGAAAACTGTCTGACAGGCATGAGGACCTTGCAAGGTACGCACATACCAAATATAGTTATCCTATTACTTATAATAAGTGAGAAATAAACATAACAAACTTTTTTTTAAGTAGTCATTGAACCATGAAAATGAGGTCAAGGCCATTGGTCATATGACAGACGGAAAGTTCATAAGATAAGGCATCTATATACAAAGTATGAAGCATCCAGGTCTTCTACCTTCTGAAATACTAAGCTTTTAAGTCAATAGCTAACGTCGCCGCCGCCGGATCACTAACCCTAAGTCTCGCTTTCTGCGACAGAAGTCGCAGGCGAGACAACTAGACTTATCAACATTTTACAAACCAAAAACCGAGGTGGAACCAAGGTGTCCCCGAAAGGCAAAACATTAACTACTCCACACGGGACACCTGTCGTATGGCTTATGAAAGAATGTATTTCGTGATGAGTTATCCGATGGTATCACATTTGGCGGAGACGACGACGCTGTGGTTTAAGGTAATTTGGTATTTGGAGACAGTTTTGATTCGCTGTGAACCAGAGCTCAGTATTTAGCCGAAAGGACAATTTGATTGGTTCTTTTTGTCTGTGGTCCCTATTTTGAGGAGAAGTGAAAATAATAATAATCTATGTTACCATACCATCATACACACTAATATAGGTTTCAGTTTGGTTAAATTAGCACATGATTTTTCAGGGAAAATTTTTATTTAATTATTTACCACAAAGAGCATTCATTATCTTACATGGTAATTCCAAATTTCCTGAGAGTGTTTTATGTCTGTCTGAAAGTGAATTAGAAACTTCAAGCTTGAAAATATGTGAATATATGTATTCTGACTCCAATCCGACCAGCTTTTGATCTTACAAGTGCCGCGTTAGACATTTAGATGTAATATACAAGTACAAAGATTTGTGAAACGATTGTACTATAGTGATAAAAGATGTATTCGGGTATTAGTATATATTTAAAAAAAAACCGAAGTTATATCGCAGAGAAAGACAAATATTTCGGCAAAATAGGCCTTCGGCAGTGTTAACCTTTTTAAAAACAAGATCGGCGAAATAATTTTAATCACATTTTTGGAAACAGTATAACAAACTTTATTTTTATGAAAACAAATCTCATTTAAGATCAAGTTATATTTCTTAAATTTCAGTTTACATGATAGTACAAAACAGAAAAAAGTGAACTTCAGATAATTAACAATTAAGTTTGTCTAGAGAAATAATATGAACACTGTCACTTCCGACTTGTTGTCCTTCTTCGTCAGCACAGTAACACTGTGACCCTGTACACTGAATCTCGTCATAGCTTCCATCGGCTGTACAACGGAACGCTTTCCCAACCATACCAGATTCCTGATACTCAGCTTGAGAACGTGCGCATTCTGCAATTAAATTGATATAGATCTGAATTAAATGGGTTTTTTTTATCAATACGTTTTAAGTATAAGAAAACGAATATTTTTATTGGGGTAATTTTAAAGATCGCATTCATTCAACCAAAGTCTATGTGTGGCTGGCTAGCGACTGAATCACTGCTTTTGGGATAAAAAAAATGCATTGAGCACAACATTCTATACATCCTATTTATGAACATTTCAAGATATTTATCAATGAAATATATACTCAGATATAAAGTTTTAAAATGATGTGTATGTGTATAACCCTACATGTCAAGAAAATGACTTAAATTGTGCACGGGGCATGAATATTATTGATGACATTGTTAAAGTTAATTAATATTAAAATTTGAGTTATCTTTCTTTGTACTTAATTGTAGTTGAACCTAATTTTTTTTCTATCCAACTACACGATTATATGAGACTCCAATTAGTGGCATTACCTTCCAATTCTTAAAATAATGCAAGCTTTATTTTTAGTTCCAGCCGCAAAATGAATGTAACCTTCAGTGCTTATAAGCTATGATTTACAATTATATACGACCGGTGCCGCTATCAGATAACACATAAGGATGGTATGCATAAGGCTTCTGAAATATAGAAAGAACGCACTAAGTGTATCTAAGTAGACATACAACGCAATCAGTGTTCAATACAGATGATAGTATACTTACTGCATGTCTGTTGTTCGGCTTCCCAACGGTTAACACTAAAACCTTGAATTTTTTTACCGTCCTCCTTTACACAATAACATCTGAAATTGACAATAACATTAATACGAAAAAGCACATACATGTATTTTTTATCTAACTTAAACATATATAAATACATTCTATAATCAAACAAAAAATAACTGACATATTTTTCTGTTTTGTTATAAACTTTGGCGCAGCAGTTCTGGATAAACATTATTTTACATGTAAAGTGTTTCCCGATCAAGAAACAGGGGATTCAATTCCGTTCATATAATCAGTTTTTATGTGATTTAACTCTTTTTTTTCATTGTTTTTGTTAGGTTTTTACAAGATTTCAAATTGTATACTTTAATTGTATAGCATCCGTTCTCTAGTATTTGAATTGTTGTCTTTAACTTTATGGGTTTCTTAATCTTATACATTTTGAACGATTGTTTGCCAATGTAATATAATATAATATCTCTCCTATCCTAATCCAGATTTGAGAACTATGAAGATAAAGGTCACAGAAGTCATCAAAGTCACACAATTGCCATTTAAGTGTAGACAATAAGTATGTCTAATCAGGTACATCTGGGACAAAGTATACCACAATTATATGTATTTTTGGTGATTGTTTGTTGCTTTTTAGATGTCTTTTGGTTATGTGGGTAGCGTTGCTGTTTAATTTAAAGTGAACCGCACATCTCGTATATAGATTAAGTTTCTGTGCAAAGGGGCATAATCAAAGTTTTGCTAAAATTTAAACAGTTAAGAACAACGTTTGTTGAAAGCCCCTTCTAAATGTTAGTATGTCCCCCTTCTAAATGTAAGTATGTACAATTGTATTCAATCACTGATGTACTATCATGCATCTTCCCTTCAAGGTTCTATTGATATTGTTTCAATAAAAAAATCTATTATATTCTGTTTCAATAAAAAAATCTATCATATTCAACTCGTTTGTATTACCGCACTTACTGAGACCCTGAGCACTGCTTTGGGGCGTAGTTTCCCTCGCTATCACAAACCGGCTTTCTTCCTCCAACCATACCCAGCTCTGAGTTTTTATGAAACTGTTTCAACTCATGTAGACAATGTGTTTCTGAAAGATTGGAATGCGTTTAAAGGGCTATGCTGAATTATATTTGATTATGATATTATCATCTCAAATGGGACCATGTGAAAAGTTTATTATCTTCCTTTTAAAAACAGTTCAACAAAACTCTGACCACTAGATAAAACACAAGAAAATGCTTATTCAAAACATATGAAAAATGAAATAATTCATGATTTGAAAAAGCAATTTATTCAATCTCTTTGCTTCTTATATTAAAATGTCCAAAGCATTCATCGAAACTCAAAACAAAATCAAAGGTAAAAAGTCCTTATTCCAGTTTTGACGACACAAAAGTATGACAAACTTGTTGTTTTAAAAAAATTGTCTGTTGTAGCCTTCAAAAATATGTAAAAGATTCAGAATAATACTAACGAAAAACACTGAAATCAATGCTTTTGTGATGAAAACACTGAAACCAATGTGTATGCAACGAAAAACTCTGAAACCAATGCTAATGTGATGAAAAATTCTAAAACCAATGTTAATGTGACGAAAAACTCCGAAACCAATGAAATGTGATGAAAAATTCTAAAACCAAATTGAATGTTAAAGTGACAAAAAACGGAAATTTTACAAACCATTACAAGAGCACTTATTATTGACACAACTAGAAATTAAGGTGGTACCCAACACCTTGACTTATATCAATTTGGCTCGTTTAATTTTCATAAAATTTTGACAAAATGTTTACTTTGACCCTTTGACAAAAATATAAAAATTTCAAAAAATTTGAACCAACCACTTTATCAGAAAAATTTCGTTGGTTATATAGCAGTTTGACAAACCCATATTTTGATCATTGAGAAGCTTAATATTTCCTTAACAATACAACGTAATTAAAACGTTTAGCTGATTTTTACAGAGTTATCTCCCTGTAGTGTTAGGTACTACCTTAAATGATGGAAAGACAACCATATATTGATATATATGTATATGGAAATAAATAAAAAAATATGTTTGTTTAATCTTAAGGGCGGTTACGCCACATACTATTAATATTGTTTTTACAAATTTAAAAAAAAACTCCGTAACAAATAATTTGACGTCTTTCTTCGACAGTTGTAAACCCAATCAGTATGTCTCTGTATTATTTTCATCATACACACATACCAAAATGACTCCTTTTTGATTATAAAGGCAAATCAATTTGTTCCACCATTACTTGTAATCCTGAAGTTTTTATTGAATTAGAAAAGTTGATGACGAACTTAGCCGTATTATCCTGAATTCTGATGACCATAGTTTAGTTTGCGTGATTAAAGTATTGAAAAAAAAAATCATTTTCAAATCAAAGTGGTTTATAATGCATCAAGATATATTGAAATGGCACTAAATCTGCCAAAATGTATAGCAAAATTATTCTTAATTTTGTAAAAAAGATAACAAAAGATCCTGGATACATCCTAAAGCCACATTAAAATGATCCAAAATTTATCATAAATTTATATGTATTAAAATGTTTGTTTAATCTTTTCAAAATATTCCATAATCAAACATGCAATTAAAGTAATAAAAAACGGGTTCTACTCTCATGACTGTCATATCCATGTTGTAAAAAATCTAAAAGCAAAGAACCTATCAAAATTTCCAAATTTTCTAAAAAATAAATAAGTATATTCTCTTTCCTCAAAGGTACAGGGTAACGATAATTTTGCTTCATCAACTTGAAAGGATTAATTTCTGACTATATTGAATAAATGCAGTTTTCCCTATACATAGTTGAATATACTTGACATATCATTTGATATATACCTTCATCGCAACTACGTGCAGTGGCTCCATCCAGAAGAAATAAACAGCAAACACTTAGAATACAGACAGCAGAGTTAAAGGCTCCCTTCATTTTCGGTGTGGTCTTTACAATTCTGAAGTCAGAAATACTTTGAGATAATCTACCACCCCCCTTTTTATACATATCTTCCACTGCCAGTAGCTAACAGACATAACTCAAAATGATTGTTTGTGGGCACGGTGAAAGTATTTATGTAACATATGGCAACATTCAGATCCCTGATAATTTGACACCTTGCAAATAAAAATGTCAAGAACAGAATGCTGGAAGGAATGGACATACCAACCAACATTAAATTATATAATGATAAAAACAAATGTGTCTATGTTAACTATCTGATAAGGGAACATTGCCTTTTGTGATAACCAACACTGCAACACCGTGCCTTTCGGTTGACATTGAAGCAGGTGGTTAATACATGTAGTATCTGATTAAAATCATTACATGTATTTGAATGTCTTGAGGCTATGAAATATTTACGCAAGTTCTGTCCAGTCACATATCGTACGTTGTGCTTTGTTTTAATTTTGTTTTAGAGTATTACACACCAAAAACCTACCTCTGGTCTAGAATGTACAAAGTTGTGTAGGCAAACTACAGCAGTTCTCATCATTTTGTACCTTCTTATAGTAATTTTATGAAATCACTGATTTGCTACGGATTTTGTTAAAATTAAATATGTCATGATTGTATTAGAAATGATATCAGTGATTTTACATATCTCATGAAATTCAGGGAGTTTACAAAATCGCTAATTTTACAAATTCCCTATAACATACAAATGTAGAAATATATGATTAGGACAATAAAGTACCCATAACTTCTTCATCTGCCATCTTTCTTGGTGTTCCGGCTGTGTTTTATCAACTAATTTTCTCTCTTTTGGCACTTTGGTATTCCACTTTTACATTACACACCACATGAAACCCAAACAATATGGTAAAAGGTAACATTTTTACCTACGCAATACATGAAAAGGTATACATTTTTAAAATCTAAAATATATGAAAAGGGTGGAGTAACAGACTGATCCCCAGCAGCACTCCCTATCAATTAAGTAATGAAAATACAACTTGATGCCATACTTACCAGGGTAAAACCTTTTTTAGGTGCTCTCGTGACAGGCTATGCATGATATTAAAATGAAAAGTAGGCACATTTGTTTTAGCAAAATGCACAATACCCTGCTGATATCTGAAACTACAACATTTGTATCAAGGCTGCATGCAGGTAAAAAAATAACTTGTGACAGACAAGGCTTCCGTGCTCATACCGTAAAAACACACGCCATAACATTCCTTAAAACTGTTCCTTTTATTTTTTGTAACAGCGGTATAGCTTATTGTAGAATAACGTCTTTCCAAATTAAAAAAAATTATGATCTATGCCAGGAAGTTACCATAATGCCATAGAAAGACATCTATAGAATGCTTATTTTTGCGTTGTAGTATTCAGATATACCTACATTGAACAACTCGATTATTAACTATTTGGTATATATATATATGCACTCTCCGCTTGGGGTTGAATCACAAAGTTAACAAAGTTCAAAATTATTTAATTTATCACATAAAGCACATAACATATCACATTTCTAACTAATTCATGAGATATTTTCCTAAGTTAAATGTGCAATTGTGCCTATATCATGCACCCTAAGCCTTTGCGAAAGACGAAGAGTTAGCACTTGGTATGCTAATGAATATCCTTTATTAAAACGACACTGATGAGTCTTGTATAGACGAAACGCGCGTCTGGCGTAGAAAATATTATAAGCCTGGTACCTTTGATAAGTATTTACTTTAGGCCTAACACAGTGCCATATTCTGTGAGATGTCGATGATTTGCAAGTATATTTCATTTGTCTACATGATTTATTTTCTTATGCTTGATTTGTTCAGTAAGGTATACATTTTGTCTTATATCTACATTTAATATATCCTGTTTTATTTTAGAAAAGAACAATGTCGCTCTCATGAAAGGAATTCAAGCGTGCATGACTTTGCAACATATAGACTCTTATAAATAAGTATCACATAACTCTTTCAAATCCTGCAATCAAAATACCGGGACCCTTCCTCATGCAGTGTATAACTAAGTTCGGGTACATGTATGCTTTGTTTATTAAATGCGAAGCAAACCTGAAAATTCGGTTTCAAAAATTAAACGACACGACCGTTTATATATACGACCGTTTATATATATAATTCTTAAGAAATTAGAGAAATTTGTAACTAGCAACTCGACCTTCGTAACTCGCAACTCGCAACTCGACCTTTGTAACTCGCAACTCGACCTTCGTAACTCGCAACTCGACTTTCTTAACTCGGAACTTGCAACTCGACGATAAGAAACCTTTGTCTTTTGAAATAACTACTTCCTCAAATCCTACAAACATAAGTAACGAGAAATATACATGCATTTTTCTATGGTTTAAAGTACTATTTCTGTTGCCATATTTTAAACCACTTCAATTGTTGATGCATAATATGAGGAGTTATTGGTTCCTTCTTGTTTACAGTGTGATGACCTATTGCATTTTGAGTATACCTTGTTTTATTGAAGTACAAAGAAAAGAATTCCAAGGCTTTAAATATCCAGCTAATTTGTGTGTTCATTGAATGGCATAATATGCTTCTATCTTTGTAGAAGATTTATAATTTTTACATAAATGAATGAAATATAATGAAACATCATAGTATGATGTCGGTAAAGGCTTTGTATTAAATGAATTACATCACTTGCAAAAGCTATTCATCATAATCTGTTGTCGGTTATAAAGGCTTTGTATTGAATGAATTACACCACTTTCAAAAGCTATTCATTCTAGTCTGTTGTCGGTAAAAGCTTTGTATTGAGTGAATTACACCACTTGCAAAAGCTATTCACCATAGTCTGTTGTCGGTAAAGGCTTTGTATTGAATGAATTACACCACTCGCAAAGGCTATTCTTCATAACCTGTTGTCGGTAAAGGATTTGTATTGAGGGAATTACACCACTTGCAAAAGCTATTCATCATAATCTGTTGTCGGCGAAGGCTTTGTATTGAATGAGTTACACCACTTGCAAAAGCTATTCATCGTAATCTGTTGTCGGTAATGGCTTTGTATTGAATGAATTACACCACATGCAAAAGCTATTCATCATAATCTGTTGCCGGTTAAAGCTTTATACTAAATGAACTACACCACTTGCAAAAGCTATCAAATGTATACCTGTATTTATTTTTAGTATTACAAAATGTAACAGTATAACAATTTAAGCAGTAATCTGGAAGACATTTTTCAAGATTGTTCAGAGTTTCATTCTGTGCATGGCATAATTTCCTGAGACCAACGACCAGTACTAAAAACATCTTCAAATGTATAAATGAAATAAAGAAATTATCATCTTAAAAGTTTTGGTTTATATTTATGCTCTAAAAAATAAACTACCAATGTGCAACGTAACTTTTCACTAGATCTTGCTATATCAACATATAGCCTTGTCAGAATTAAATTTACATTACAATGTAAATTTCCCTTATTGTAAACATTTAACAATATGTATATACAATATTTTACAACAAATCAGTTTTTGGTGGGGTTCGTGTTGCTCAGTCTTTAGTTTTCTATGTTGTGTTGTGTGTACTATTGTTTGTCTGTTGGTCTTTTTCTTTTTTAGCCACGGCGTTGTCAGTTTATTATCGACTTATGAGTTTGAATGTCCCTTTTGTATCTTTCGCCTCTCTTTTTCAGTAAAAATGTAGTGTCGTGAACAGTGTGTCCGACCTTTCTTATATCATTGTTTTATACGTTTTCAAAACTAAACAGTCAACTCAAACACGCCTGAATATAAACTAGAGGCTCTAAAGAGCCTGTGTCGCTCACCTTGGTCTATGTGCATATCAAACAAAGGACACAGATGGATTCATGACAAAATTGTGTTTTGGTGATGGTGATGTGTTTGTAGATCTTACTTTACTGAACATTCTTGCTCCTTACTATTATCCCTATCTATAATGAACTTGGCCCGGTAATTACAGTGGAAAATATTTTGTAAAAATTTACAAAAATTTACAAAATTTATGAAAATTGTAAAAAATTGACTATAAAGGGCAATAACTCCTTAAGGGGTCAATTGACAATTTTGGTCATTTGACTTATTTGTAGATCTAACTTTGCTGTACATTATTGCTGTTTACAGTTTATCTCTATCTATAATAATATTCAAGATAATAACCAAAAGCTGCAAAATTTTCTTAAAATTACCAATTCAGGGGCAGCAACCCAACAACGTGTTGCCTGATTGGTCTGAAAATTTCAGGGCAGATAGATCTTGACCTAATGAACAATTTTATCCCCATCAGATTTGCTCTAAATGCTTTGGTTTTAGAGATATGAGCCAAAAACTGCATTTTACCCTATGTACTATTTTTTAGCCATGTCGTCCATCTTGGTTCGCGGGCGGGGTCATCGGACACATTTTTTAAACTAGATACCCTAATGATGATTGTGGACAAGTTTGGTTAAATTTGTTTTAGTAGTTTCAGAGGAGAAGATTTTTGTAAAAGATTACAAAAATTTACGAAAAATGGTTAAAAATTGACTATAAAGGGCAATAACTACTTAAGGGGTCAACTGACCATTTTGGTCAGGTTGACTTATTTGTAGATCTTACTTTGCTGAACATTATTGCTGTTTACAGTTTATCTCTATCTATAATAATATTCAAGATAATAACCAAAAACGGCAAAATTTCCTTAAAATTACCAATTCAGGGGCAGCAACCCAAGAACGGGTTGTCCGATTCATCTGAAAATGTCAGGGCAGATAGATCTTGACCTGATAAACAATTTTACCCCATGTCAGATTTGCTCTAAATGCTTTGGTTTCAGAGATATAAGCCAAAAACTGCATTTTACCCCTATGTTCTATTTTTAGCCATGTCGGCCATGTTGGTTGGCAGGCGGGATCATCGGACACATTTTTTAAACTAGATACCCTAATGATGATTGTGGCCAAGTTTGGTTAAATTTGGCCTAGTAGTTTCAGAGGAGAAGATTTTTGTAAAAGTTAACGGACGACGACGACGGACGACGGACGACGGACGCCAAGTGATGAGAAAAGCTCACTTGGTCCTTTGGGCCAGGTGAGCTAAAAAGCATA